GAGGTGTCGACAGAAACGGCGGTCCCATCACCGTGATTCGTGTCAGAAACCACTTTGGCAGCCAGTGCCCCCACAAGGACTTTGAGCGTTTCATTGTGCTTATGCTTGAGTGGGTCAGACTCTCTCTTAAGCCAATGTCGCTTGGCGGTGACGGTGCCAACATTCTCTTTGACTTGACCGGTATCTCGTTGAAGAACATTGACTTGGCTGCTGTCAAGTTCTTGGCCAAGGCCTTTGAGGCCAACTACCCCGAGTCCTTGACCGCCATTTGGATCCACAATGCCCCATGGGTCTTCTTCACTGTGTGGAAGTTGATCCGTGGCTGGTTGGACCCTGTGGTGGCCTCCAAGGTGCACTTCACCAACTCCGTGGAGGACTTGGAGAAGTTTGTGGACCGCAAGAACATTCCAGACTTTGTAGGCGGCGACGACACCTACAGACCCGAGTACACCCCTCCAACCGACGAGAACTCCGGCTTGAAGCCCAAGGACGAGCGTTTCGACGAGTTGGCTGAGCACCGTAAGCAGCTCTCCAAGGTGTTTATCGAGACCACGCTTGCGTGGATCAAGGCTGCCACCAAGGAGGAGCTGACCAAGTTCATGAACCTCAAGATCCAGCTTGGTGTCGAGTTGGCCAAGAACATGGCCGAGCTTGACGAGTATGTTCGTACCAGAGGCCAGTTTGACAGAAACGGCGCTCTCCAGATCACCCTTTAGATGTTCGCTGGCGGCTCTATATATTCAATTTATGACAATTTCAGCGTTGGTTGTAGGATGGGGATTTGGCGATTTTTGAGCAGACGCCAAAGCTTTTGGTCAATGACTATGATTGAAATTGTGTTTCTGTCAGCTTTGTATGGTCAAGGGCCTCGTTGTTCTTTCACTTTTTGCCATGGAATGTCCATCTAATGTTGAAGATGATATCGACAGAAAGCTCTTGCTAGATCAGGGAATCACCATTTGTGGAAGCTTAGGTACTTTTCAGGAACTCTCAGTGACGAAAACCTAGATTTCTTCAGCAGACAATTGAAAACTGGCTTTCAGTCTCCATCCACAAATCGTATGGGTACTTGAGGAGCTTACATTCAAAAAATACCAATATTCTGAGCCCGTTGGCGGCGAAATTGGATGACCAGTTTTCATGATAATTCGGACGGCAACCAGCTGCAGCTATACGACACCCATATCATACACCAAGATAGTGGGCTGGATGGTGGCTTTGATTGCAGCAATCGTGCAAATAGTTTATCCGTGATTCACCAGCCTTCGTTCCATAGCTTCCCTGGAACCCCTGGCAGCAATAGAAGTAGAAAAAGAAAGGCCAATGTTAGTAATAATGACCCCTGGTCCGTATATGCCTCTTTCAGTATTCGTGATTCCGTAGTTGCACCGCTTGCATACTTGATACTCCTGGAAGGACCCTGACTTCAGCACTGTAACACTTGTAGTCATGCAAACATTACGACACCGGGCTCAATTCCACCTTCGGCCTCGATTTCCACCTTTAGGGCTCATAATCCACCTGACCTCAGGCAATTATACCGTGAGACTCTACACTCGCCTATACCACCAGACACCCAAAATACCTCATACACCCCACCATTCCATCCCAGATCCACCCGTATTTCCCCAGATCCACCCGTTTTTCCAACCCCTATCTCCAAAACCCAAGCCCGTGGCAGGCGGAGTGTGGGCAGTGCTGAGGCATTTCAAAATTCAGGTGCCTCCCACACCCGTTTGTGACACATTTTAGCTTTTTCACTGCCTCCACTTGCTCTTCTCAACGGTGTAGCCGCACCGTACCCTTGCTGGCGGATGCGTTGGACCGCAGTTAGACTTTTCCGTGCACGGAGAAAGTGTGAAAACGAAACCCACCGAAAACAAAGACCCGTCAGCGTTTCGCTGGATCCTTTCGAGAACTCCGCCTGGTGTGCTTAGCCGCGCTGCCTTAGCCGTTTGAAGCTAGCGCGAGGTTGACAGAATGGAGATCTCGAGGGGGGTGGAATGGTGAAAATTCCTGAATCTCCTTCACTGAAAGTCGTTTCTATTTGCTGCTAACACCCCCCAGTCTAGAAACATCGCTGCACCGGGTGCATAGATCTAGAGGGTTCCCCCGGAAACTCTAATGTGCTTCGGCTATGCGAATCAGGGTCGTTCCGTCCGGGTGCTTCGGGTATTCCGACTCTCGCGTGTGTTTCGCGGTCCAAGGCGCTGTGGGGCGTTTTCGGGGCTGAGTGTAAATCAAGAGGCCTAGTGGGCCTGGAAGGGGCTATCTTAATCTGTTTTTCGATGCCCTATGGCGTATCGGCGGTACACGGAAAATGTGTCAAAAACCGCAAGCCGCACATCAGCCACGGGAGATGCGGAGCCGCTGCAGTATACTCTGGAGCTGACTAACGTAGGGCTGACCGCTTATTTATAGGGCTGGCGGTTCCCGTTGCTCAGCCGTTTCTGTAGATTTTTTGCTGCTTTAGAAAAACACATTTTGCAATATGGGCTCCGAGGCCACCGAACAGGAGCTACGGCCCGAGTCGCTGGTGCCTGATACCACTGAGAAGCCTCACACAGAGACTGCCGAGGACCCTTCCTCGCCAAGATCCCAGGACAAGACGAAAAAAATAGCACAATCGGCTCTTCGGGTTTTGAGATCCATATGGCTCGCCTGCGGGCTCTGCTTTGCCTTCAACTCGGCGCTTTTCATTGTCGAGGTCATTGTCAGCCAGAGGTTTGGCCTGGTGTCTGCGGTGCCCTTCATGAGTGTCCTATTCACCATGATCGTTATTGTCATGGAGGTTCTCCGGAGACAGCAGCGTTTCCAGCGCTTGATCGCCCGAAAGGGCTCTTATCTCCAGGTGTGGTCGGTGTTCAAATACGTGATGGTGATTGTCTACTTGGGTCTCACCATCGGCTACATTGTCGTGCTCATAGCTGGAACGATCAAAAACCCGCTCAACCTCTCCAACGAGGATCTCCACCGCCTCAAGGTCGATTACACAGACCGCCTCACCATCGTCATCATGTCGGTGGTGGCCATGTTGCTCAACATCAACGTGCTAGTCCACGTCTGGGAGATCTCCAAGAAGGGCAAGGTCCAGTACTTGATCGTGTTGGCCTGCCTTGTCAACTTCATCATCAGCGTGGCCGAAATCAAAATCTCCTCAAATGCCAATAACGATACCATCTGGCAGAGCAACGACGACGAGGAATTCTCCTTGCCCATGCTATACATCTACACCGAGTCCTTCTCTCTCTGTGGATCCCTCATCGGACTCGCTGTCGGCGCTATAGTCAACGAGAAAAACAGACTCTCGGATACCGTGGGCCAGTTTCTCTTTCTTCACGACGGCTTCATGCTTGTCTTGGCCATTTTGAGCTTGGTCACCGCCATCGACTCCATTGTTCGTCAGCACGTCAGGGGTTACCTGGTCCCCACAAGTTTGAACGTCTTCTACTTCTACACATTTGTCTTGTGCCTTCTTCTCATATCCTGCTCCCGCTACTTGAGATCCAGACGTCCTCCATCCTACGAAATCGAAACCCTCGACCTTTCCCGCCTCACAGACGCCCAAAAGTCCGCCTATGCAAAGCTCATTACTTACAATACCAGTGCAAATAAGGGTGTTTCGGGCGAGTCTGTCATCTCCATGATGGAGGCCTACAGCAACAGTGAACTCGACAACATGCATTGCAAGGTCTTGAGAGTGTACAAGTCGGAAAAGATAAAGCAAAAGGAGAGAGCCCAGTACGAGGCTGGTCTTGCGGATTACGACGTGTGGGATGTGGTGGACCGTGAAACCACCATTTTTGATGAAGAGGCCACTTTGAATGAGGAACCCATCTTCAAACCAGCACAGCCAATGTCAAAGAACAAAAGAAAAAAGCTCGCAAAGAAAGCCGCTGCTGGAAAAGCGGACTACCCATTGGAGTGCCCAACAGAGCAAGACATCAGAGAACAGGCCAAGTTCCACACCGACTTGATGGCTACTGAGGCCCTTGTTCTCCTCACCACAATCGAATCCTACGATATCACTGCCACCTTAACAGGAAAATTGGGGCAGTTTTTGCATAGGAACTTTGGAGGCGCCTCGAAGAACAAGTTTCTTTGTTTGCGCATAGGCCTCCTTGGTTTCCACTGGCCTTTCATGAGATCCACATTCTACTGTAGAAGCACCGACAAACCAGTTGCCAGGGCTGCAGCTGTGATGCACGCTTTGGGTAAATGGAACAAAAGTCTCCCTTCTGCTTCGAGATGTGGTGTCATGATTGACCCTACCATCACCAACACCCCTGCTGAGCAGGCAATTCGTCTTGGTGGTTGGTACGATATCAACCTTCCTGCTTCGCATATCATCAACATGAAGCCTTACAAGGGTAAGTCTGCTGTGGACTTCTTCAAGGCCGTCAAGTACAGAAACCAAGACGGAGAGTTCAAGCGCTCGAACGGTGAAGTCATCGAAGTGAAGGAACCAAAAGATCTGGATTGTCAGACCATCATTGATCTTTGGGAAAAAATCGCCGAAGGAAGATCTGAAGGCGGATACACGGCCACATTAGCAGCACCAGACAAAACCTTCATCAAGCTGATGCTATCTACAGCCAATAAGTCCGGCTACAGATCGCTTCTTTTCCTCAAAGTCGGTGATGATGTGATCGCCTCTTGCATTTTGTTCCGTCTTGGAGATACCATTACTTCGGATATCCAGGGCTTGGACCACGAGTTGGCCAGACCAATGAAGGGATACTTTGTGATGATGCAAGAAACCATCGCCATTGCATTGAAGGAGGGCAAAGACTTTGTCGATTTCGGCCCCACCACCGAAAAGGCAAAGCTCAGCATAGGCTGTAAATCGGTTCCCTTGACCGGTGCCTTGTTCACCAACTTCCCTCTTTTGTCCTGGGCTGTGTCCATAGCAGCAGCTCACGTCAAGGTGTAATCTGTATTTATTAGCATATTATGACATAGTTCAACGAGTTTAATGGGTATAAGTAATAGATAGATACTTATTCTCTGCTTTCAGGATCCTTCACCTCAATATCCTTCTCTGGATTACTGTCTCTCAATCCCGCTTTCATTTTCCTCTCTTCAAGTGGAATAGGAACACCGTCATCGTCCTCCACAGCGTTGTTGGTTTCACCCAAATAGTAGCTCCTCTGTAGGTAAGCTGCAGCAAGACGAATAGCCTGTAAACTGACCGCAATTGGATAAAAATAGAAGTTCACTTCTCTGTATGCCTGGATTCCTGCTTGCCTCACAGCAGAAGTAAATTCGTATCCTTCAAGATTGGTGATATTGTTGAAGTAGCCTCTTATCTCCTCGTTGGTGACGTTACTTGGCATGTGTGCTCTTAAGGAGGCCTCCATTTGTCCTTGCCATATAGCCGTCGAAATGGTAGATCCTATCGAGCTTCCGATGTTGGAAGCCAAGGACATGATGGAGATGGAAATTGCCATATCTCTGTGAGGAACCGAAGCCTGCAAAGAGACGTTACAAGCTGGAACAGTGAAACCTCCTCCCATACCCGAAAGAATGGACGACCATACCAAAATAACGGTATTGTCACTTGCTAACCTTCCATCGATCATGATACCCGAGCCGATTATCTCCATGACAATTCCGAAGTACTGGTAGATCTTGAAGCTATGTGTGACTCTCATGAGAGCTCCAGATACCACACCAAATACGCATAGAGCCATTGTCAAAGTGTTGTTATAGTAGGTCCATTCTTGGTTACTCCAGTCCTTCACAATCCACACATACGACGACAAGTACGTGAGTGGAACCATACCGGCAAGTTGGAAAAAGAAGGTGATAACGATCGATCCGACAAGAGTTCGGTTCACACATCTCCTAGGTAAGATTGGAAATGGAGCCCAAACAAACTCGTAAACAAAAAAGGAGATAAGAAGGACTCCGCCCACAACAAGCATAGCGATCAAACTTGGATTTCTCCATTGGTTTTCAGCATTTCTGTAGAGCGAGAAGGGCAACAAAATCAAGGCGAATGCAAAGCCCAACAAAAGCAAGCCCAAGATGTCAACCTCCACCAAGACCCTCCAGACGAGCTTTTTCCAGTTCTTCCTAAAAATGATATCCTTGTCTGGGCCTTTCTCGCTTACATCAAGACTCTTTTGAGCCTTGTTCTCGTAGTAGAACATGATCGTCGTAGCAGGAGCAAGAACCACGGGCACAATGATACAAAACATTCCGTAACCCCATCTCCAGCCTGTGGGTCCCAAATCCGACACAATGTGGCCGGCGTACCATGTGTTGATGATGTATGGGGTACTCAAGGTGGAAGTTGCAAGAGCTCTCCATTTCAAAGATGTCATATCGGCCACAATGATCAGACTCAAAAACTCTACGCCAGACTCGCCAGCAGCCGACAAGGCCGACCCGACAATATAAGCTGAGATCGTGGTACTTGAAGCAACGATTATGTAACCGAGGACGTAAAAGATCAAGGAGATCAAGTAGGTGGCTGGACGTGAGACGATATTGGCTGTTCTTGCCCAAACGGGTTTGGAAATAGCTGTAATAAGCTGGACAGCTACAGAAAGGGCACCTAGGCCCATGGAGTGCTGCTCAAAATCAGAAGTAGCCCAGGGTCTCAAGTTACTGGTAACAGACCAGTCCAACGAAATAGCCCACGAACACAAAAGCACAGAAACACCCAAGATGATTCTCATTCTGAGCCCGTTCTCATGAGAATACAACAACTTTTTGAGCGCCTCCACCCGGTAGACTCCTCTATCCGTGATGACCTCCGCATTTGCATCCACTCGGTTGGCGATGATTTCTTCAACAACCTGGTCCTGGCCTCCTCCAACCACCTTGACATCATTAGCCGAATCGTATCTCTCGCTGGAGTAAATTTCAGAAGATTCACTCCTGCTGTCATGGCTCTGTCGAGCATTTCTCTCATTCTCTGTAGTCATTCTGGACAATAGCTTAATGATTCTACGACAGGAACCAGCCTAAATATATAGGCTACCAAGCCGAGTGTCGGCCAGGAACAAGGGCCCAAGGCGGACGACAAGTGGTGATCGTGAGACGAAAGCCCATTTTGGCATTTGTCTAGGGAGTTTCCAAGAATCTCATAATGCAGCGGACATGTGCCAAGGCGTATCTATAGCATCTGCCAACGGCTGAATGGACTGAGCCACACGAGCCGTTTGGTGTTTGAGGTTTAATATTTGAAGTAACTGATTTATTTTTTGAATTGTTGGTGTCGAATAGAGTTGCAGAGGACTTGGCTGCGAAATCACGACGGTACTAGTGTTACTATTTGACATATCACGATCTCGCTAAGCTTTTTTCACCGAACAACACGAGCATTGTTTTGAAGACACAAGGCCGAGAGAAGCGCCGGCTCCTGCTTTGCCGTGCTTCAAACATTCAAAAGATTGTAACTATGCGGGGCTGTTGGAGAAAGGGATAGTCAACAAGAGAAATTACTGGTATGGCTGTAGCTCAACGCTCGTTACCGTAGGCTCCTTCGTCCAATCGTCATGTCTTTCTATTTCCTATGCCTGGGGAATGTTCTCGATTTTCACCTTTCCGCTCTCGATCCACTTGGGATCAACCAAAGTATCCCTATACTGACAGGCGACCTTGAACGCTGTCTTGATTGTACCGTCACTGACTCCCACCTTTACACCGATCTTCGCCGGTGTAGTCTGGGCATCAAAAAGCAAGCTGGCGAAGTAGATGACGGTGGCTGCCACTGTCGTAGGCGATCTTCCGGCTAGAATACCCTCTTCGGAGCACTTGCGAGCAATTGCTTCGGCCGCATTGGAAACGTCCATGTTTAAACCCAAATTGGAGCAATATCTTCTGATCCAGACGTCTGAAGACGTCAGCATAGCCTGCTCGCTGTCCTTGATGAAAGAGTAAGCGTTTGGATCGGCGTGACTCTTCTCCCTCAAAATCAGCATGACTATCTTGAATACCTTACCTGTAGTTTTGATGGGCACATTTGTGAGCGCCCAAATCTCCTTGAGAGATCTTGATAGCTTGGCCAGCTTGCAGCCCATGTAGATAGCTGCAGCCATGATTGACTCCTGCGACTTTCCTTTCAACACCTTCTCCTCGTATACTAGCTTGTAAACCTCCTTGGCACTGTCTACGACAATCTTGGGTAGTTGGATGGCATCACACATTTGTGAGATTTTCGTAAACGCCGTCAACAAGGCATTGTCTTTCTTGTCCACTAAGGATCTAGCCTGGGCTCTGCTGAGATCCCTTCCGGCCCTGAAATTCTCGGGAGCGTAGGAAATCATCGTGGAGAGGTTTTCTGTATCCAATAAAGGGTTTCCGGCATCACCGACACGGCTAGGATCATCACCGTTTTGATCGTCGTTACTGAAGGTTCTCCACTCCGATCTCGTATCAACCACACGATCACTAAGAACAAAGCCACAGTCACCACAGACAATGTCGCCTTCACTGAACCTTTCTATTAGGTTAGGGGGATACGCTTGGCAGTCTGGGCACATGAGCGTGACATTCAAGTTTGGGCCCTTGAAGTCATCATCTTGCTTTGGTGCCTGGGAGTCCATGTTTGGCCGGTATTAGGGGATGGGAGGATTATGTGAAGAATAAGTGAGCAAGCATGAAATGGAAGATACCTGGGGGGACCAACTCCTTTTCTTGAGACGCTAATCCTGAGATAGCATTGAGATATCTGTAGTCATGTTGTATGTTTGTGCCGCGCACGACCATTGGGGAAGCCCAGCCCAGGCTTTTAAAGGCCAATAGCAATTGGAAGCTTTGTGGAAATTTTATGGCATCTAGCTTCGTTAGACAAAACTGATTCTTTTGAGACTTCAAGAATTGCCTCAGATTTTGTCAAGCAGTATCAGGTGTTATGTAATACGAGAAGCGAATTCTCAATAAAATGAATGGATAAATAGCTTAGAGCGGTTGAGGATTCAAAAGAAAATTAAACTTTTGATAGATTTCAAACGCTTCTTGCGCCGTGATTAATCTTTTGTGCAAACCCAAGAAGTGGCAGACAGTTCGTTATTACTAACCTTCTGAGGCTTGACACAATGTGCAGCTTCGTTGTTGAAGAGCTACTTTGCCGAGTTATTATACCGTTATGGGGGTCTTTATGCAATGGTTGGCTTACGGCTGCCATCTATGTGCGGCTCGCCAGTATAAATGTCACATCTCAATCGAGGCTCAAAAGCTTAATCTCGATGAATCGACATGTTTCGGATACCATAGGCCTTTTTTGCACTATGCAATTTTTTTCTTTCACAAAAAAGGGTACTGTTTCCAAAAGGTCTTGAAAAGAAAATCTTGTGACAATTTGTGGGCTTGGTTCGCTTAGAGTGGGACTCCAGCATGCATTACTATATAGCCACATCTGGATTCGGATGCATCTTGCACATTTCCGTTGTTGCAAGAGTGCCGTGCGGTAGTCAAAAACTTCGAAAGGAAAGACAGTGGATTGACCCTTGCAATTCCAATGAAAAGAAAAAAAAAAAAAAAAAAAAATGAGCAACTTTGTATTTATTATCTTCAAATCCTGTTCAAGTATCGAATTTCAACGAAAAAAGGTCAACGAAATATTGCTGAACGAAGTACACCAAGCTGCATGAAGTGTTGCGAAATTACACAAATCTATTCGCCGACTCCCGCATAATTGGATTATCTGATCACATCACATACATATTACATCCCTTATTACATCTCAAAGATCTGCTTGCATGGCAATTTACGTGAATGAAATCTAAAAAAGTTCGATTTTCTGGCTAACAACTCATCTTGGTAGTGTTACCTTTCACATCTCTTGCCATGAAGGACTGGTTTGAAGGTACAATTGGTCAGGAGCCTCTTCAAGGAGTCCAGAAGCATTCCCAAAGAAGAAAACCGCAATTTTTTTCGCATACATGGAGATTGCATCGGGGAAAAAGTAAAGTTCGATCCGGTTCGTCGAGGTGCGGCTCTCGAGTGACAGACGTCAAATATGCGCCAAGAAACCTTCAACGGACCTGTAAGATGAAGTCTATATGGGGTCGTGGCGGAGCAATGGAATTTTCCAACAATAACGGTGCCATTTTGGTAAGGTAAGATCGTTTCTAGTAATCGCTAAATCTTGAGAAATGCGGGAAGGGCCCGTCATTATGCATCCCCAATGCCTTTGCATATTTGAATCCGTTTTTCGGATGAGGTCTGCCTGTGGTGGGTATATAAGTTTGGAGGAGTGGTGAAAAGTAAATCCATAATTTTTATTCCCTTTCTTGTCAATTGTGTTCAAGAATGTCCTCTCCAACTCCGCAGGACATCACAGTCCATGAAAAGGACTCAGAGGTAGCTCTCAACGTTGATATTGAAGAGCAAAGTCATGAATCAAAAGATACGCCAGAAAAATTGGCCGACGATTCTAATGAAGTATATTCTGTGGAATCTTCAGGTTCTGAGGAATTTGAAAAGTCTCGAGGAGTCAGAAGAATCGAGAATGTGAAGACTATGATGTTGACAGCTAAAAATGGAAAGACTATCATGGTAACCTTTTGCTTCACTCTTCTTGTTATCGCTTTTGTCTATTCTTTAGATGCCTCTACAACTGACAATTATGCTGTACCCGCTACCTCTAGTTTCAGCAGACACTCGATGATCTCCAGTGTGAACATTGCAACCTCCATCATTGGATCTGTTATTCAGCCTTTTCAAGCTAGGTTTGCCGATATAACTTCCAGACCTCTTTGCTTCACCTTATCGCTAGGATTCTACACTGTGGGTGTTATTATTGCAGCCGCATCCTCCACAATTGGAGCTTACGTGGTAGGGTCAGTATGTTCAGCTGTGGGTTCAAACGGTATATCTTTTGTGAGAGATATTATTGTTGCTGATTTGACAGACCTAAAGTGGAGGGGTCTTGTCAATGCTCTTATGACCTCTCCATACATCATCACTGTGTGGTTTTCAGGCTTGATTGTTGACGCTATTTTGGCCAGAAACTGGAGATGGGGTTACGGCATGTTTGCCATTATCATGCCCGTGGTTGTCTTGCCAGCAGTGTATGTCCTTTACCACTTTGAGAACAAAGCACAGAAGTTCGTTCCCAAAACCGAGAAGCCAAAGAAAACCTTCCGTCAGATATTGTGGGATTCTGCGATCCAAATTGATGCTTTAGGTTTGATTCTTATGGGTTTTGGATGGTCTCTTTTGTTGTTACCGTTTTCTTTGCAGCCATATGCTAAAGGCAGCTGGAGCAACCCTAGTTTGATAGCCATGTTTGTGGTAGGTCCTGTTTTGTTGATAATCTTCACCGTCTACGAGATCTTCTATGCGCCTGTTCCACTCATGCCCAAGAGGATTCTCTACAATAAGACATTTGTCACTGCAGTCATCATCAATTTCATATACATGTTGGCCGATGGCATAAGATCTCAATACTTGTCGAGTATCGTTTTGGTTGGAAAAAACTGGTCTTACCAGAACTGGACCTACTTCAACAATGCCATCACCGTTTCCTTGTGCTTTTTTGGAGTCATTTCTGGAATCCATTTTAGATTGGCCAAGCGCTACAAGTACTTGAACTGTATGGGTATTTTCATCAGAATGGTCGCCTACTGTATTCCTCTCAGGAAGCAAGGAACCATGGCTGACACTGCATCGTTTGTGATGTGCCAGATTTTGACAGGTTTTGGATCGGCTTACGACACCGTTGGAACCGTTATCTCAAGTCAGGCTTCTGTTCCCCACCAGGACATGTCTTCAGTTATGGCCTTGTTGCTTCTTTGGTCTACTGTTGGAAGCTCAATTGGATACGTCATTTCAGGACAAATCTGGACATCCAGAATGTACACCTTTTTGAGGGAAAGCTTGCCTCTGAGTGTTTCAGACGACGAAGTGTATGATTACTACACCGATCTCACCTCGTTGTATGACGTTGCTTGGGATGACCCTGTGAGACAAGGTGCTGTGAAGGCTTTGGCCAATATCTGCCCCTACCTTTTTGCAGCCCCGGTGGCTCTTGAATTCTTGAACTTTTTGATCAGTTTCATGCAGACAAACTATTACTTGGGCGATACTCACAATGCCATTGAGGACCAAGACGGTAAGGACCCTTCGCACCCTGAACAAGAAAAGAGGGAGATCCCTGAGGGTTGGAAGGACAAGATGTTATACTTGTTTACTTGATTTAATACAGCGTTACTTGGTTTTGACTTTAAAATTTGTTCATTTTTTTGGAGATACTAGTAGCGCTACTACAAATGGTATTCTTAACACCCATAGATTTGTGTCTATTCCTCGGCTTTTTCCATCGTCTTCCTTTCTCTCCCCACAATCCTTCGGCAGAGCCTGAATACCGGGTCGTCATCATTAGTATAGATTACTGTTCCCTTTTGCCTCTTGGCTGCAACTTCTCCCCTCTCCACATCCTCAATATCCTCCAAGGACTGAACGGAATCTAACTTATGGTCTCTTAACAAAAACGCAAAAGCCACCAATGGAACCAAAAGACAAAGACCCACTATGCATAGCTGACGTTGCAAGTCTGCATAAGCCAATACAACTGCTCTCCTAGGAAGAGACCCCCAGCTGTGCTCCTCGATATATTTGTATGGCGATTCAAAGGCAAGTGCGGCCAAATCTGTGTCAACATCCAACTCCTTCATTTTGCTGACAATGGTCGGGTACATTCTCTGAGTCCAAATAGCACCTGAGACGCAGTCAGCACAGGCTGCACCAATGTTGTATATGGATGCAAATAAAGCTGTCACGGTAGCCATATATTCATGGTTTGTGCAAGCTTGAATGGAAACTCCAACTGGTCTCATGAAGAATCCAGCGCCAAAACCGTCTATGGCAAAAGCAATCGCAAGACCATCTCTGAAGTACTTCCCACGAAGTCCATCGTTGTCACCTCTGTAGTGAAGGAATAAGCCCATCGAGATGAACAAGACGCACACACCAAATAAGATGAAGCCCTTGGTCCTTTTCACTTTGATGATCACCAAACCTAAAATCGGCAAAACAATGCTGGAGACGAAACTGCCTAGTTGTGGTGTTCTGGTAGCAACAACCTCAGAAGCATTCATTCCCACCATAAGCACAGGGTACGCATATGCACCGGGTACACCACTTGCAAACACATTCCATATACCTATAGCAAAACCCGCCCAGACTCCACGATCTCTCAATAACGGAAATGGAATCAACGGTATTTTTGCCCACTTTAGTTCCCAGACTACGAATAGTGGAATAAGACAGAACCCAAGCACTAAAGGTACTATGGTAGAAGCTTGTTGCCATGAAGTTTGAGCTCCTCCTGCTAAGGTTAAGGGTACCAAGATGAGACCGAAAATGGCACATATGAAGAAACATGCCATGATATCGACTTGCCAGAACATCTTCACAGCCTTGAAAGTTGATGCTTTCCAAATGTGGGATATCTTTCCCAGTACCCTTGAGCCTCCCAGCTCTACATGTGCTCTGTAGGCGTCGGCAAACGCCCTCAACTCAACTTGACTGTTTCTTTCTTCCTGGCAGATTTGCTTCCACTCCGGAAGATTCCGGACTTTCCACTTCATGTAGATAAATGACGACAAGAAAGGAATACAAGCGAGCGGAGTGGTGAAGGCGAATAAAGCAATTCCAAAACTCCATCCATGGCGTTTCAACAATGAGTCTATGATTTCTCCACTGGACCAGGTGGTAATGATAACAGGCAAAGTGACAACCGCAATTGCCAAAACTCTGTACCGTAAGGTGGAAGCATCTGATGCGCTGATTTGAAACAAGATTCTAGCACCAGCAAATCCTGCTCCGTACAAGACATTTGCACCAGCATACTTATCAATAGAGTTAGCCTGAGACATGACAATGAGTCCTACGACTCTCAACCCTAAACTGAACGAGAAAAGCTCAAATCGTCCAAAGTTATCTGATAGTCTGGCATAGACAGGCAAAGAAGCAGCAGCAATAACCAGCTGGATGAGTCGAATTGTGGACATAAGGGAGTGTTGTCTGAAGTCACTTGCAGCGTAGCTGGAAAAGATTCCACTCACTCTGGACTCAACTAGGGAAACGTACATTCCGATGAAGATTCCAAAGAAATGGAATGCTTTGAGGAAAACAGTGTCAAGCTGGTCCATCATGAGCTCTTGCTTTCGAATACCGAACGACTTTTCCAAGACCTTGGAGTCGTGGGTTTCAATTGAGGAGTTGGTATTTTGCTTGATCAACTCTTCTGACACCCTTGGCTCCTTCTCTTGGGAGACCTCGACCGACATCAGCGATATTTTCGAATTTGCAGCCATTTTCAGCCCGCTGTTTGTCAAGAAATGACGGAATTGCTATGGCGAACGCAACTCTCTTATAAACTACGTGAAATTCAAGCAATTCGAGCTCGTAAATTTTGACCCTTGGGTTTTTCATTCTTCTGTCTACCTCCCTGGCAGTCTAATGGCTGCAGTTTACGACAATGATGCAGCCAATTGAGACACCCTCACCATAATGAGCTCGTATTAGCTTTGGCTTGGCGCCATTCAGTGTTTGTTATCTGATCGGAATTTTACGGCACCACCGAATTTTTGAAGAATTATCCAATGAAAGGCTTTCTAGGCTCCTTCTCCGTTTTCATAGCATTAAAAGGTTGAGCATGCATGTTGACGCAAGCTGTGATGCGTTTTAGCTTTCTAGTGCGGCGTATTACCGGTCCAACTCCAGAGTTATATGCTCACACGACAGTATCGCGGGTATATAAAAAAGACGCTTCAGTTCCTTGATATATTACCTCCAACACACAATTTTTCTCTTTCTTTTTCCTCAAGAACAAGTAATTGATAAAAAGGTGAGACTCTACATCGTCCAAATCACCAAACAAAACGTTTGAGCTATATCATTACAAGTCATAAGATTCATGTCCTAGACCTTCGACTCAGTGGATGGCACCTTCCTCCCGAAAATTTTCTTCACAAAGTCCATGATATAGTCCTTATCATCGGTGAACACCACCTGGGACTTTTTCCGTTCGGCAGCTTCATCCGTATTCTTTCCTTCTGCCACTAATCCCTCGTCATCCAAGTTCTGAGCATCCACCAAACGGTGATCACGTAATAAGAAAATCCACACAAACATAGGGGCACAGAGACAAAGACCCGTGATACAGAGCTTCTTCTGGATCTCAGCATAAGCTATACTGACTGCTCTTCTTGCAGGGGTTCCCCATTCCCACCGCTCAATAAAACGGTACGGCGATTCGTAGGCCATATTGGCCAAGGACGGGTCAACACCCAAATCCACCATATGGTTTCTGATGGTTCTGTGCATGTCTTGTGTCCAAATGGCACCTGAAATGGAGGACCCAGCTGCAGCTCCAATTCTGTAGAATGCTGCAAAGATAGAAGTCACAATAGCCATGTACTCGTGGTTGGTGCATGCCTGGACAGATACGGCAACGACTCTGGTGTAGAACATGGTTGCAAATCCAAGAAGACACATTCCGATGGCAACACCATCACGGAAATACTTGTCTCGGAGTCCGTCGTTTGATCCTCGGAAATGAACGAAAACACCCATCGCAATACACATGACGCAATTACCAAAAAGCACAAATCCCTTTGTTCTTCTCACTCTTGCCAACACAAAACCTAAAATCGGGACAGCAATGCCTTCAACAAATCTACCTAATTGTGGAGTACGGGTAGCCACAAGCTCAGAAGCATTCATACCCACAAGTAACACCGGATAGGCGTAAGCATTTGGCATACGAGACATGATGTTGGCAAAAATGCCCACCAAAAAGCCTGCCCAAACACCTCTGTTCTTCATGACCTTGAACGGAAGCATTGGTCTTTTCGTTACCTTGGTTTCCCAAAGGACAAAGAGTGGAATGGTCAAGAAGCCAAATACAAGGGGTATAATGGTAGAGGCGTCTTGCCATCTAGACTCGTAGCCTCCAGCCAAAGTCAACGGAGCCAAAATCAATCCAAAGCCCACAGCAATGAAAAGACACCCGATGAAGTCGACTTTCCAGAAGATATCATGCAAATACTGTCTGATCACGATACCAAGGTACTTCATGGTGGCAGACAATCCGTTCAAAGAGTACCACTTATTGGATCTCATTTCATCGAGGAATCTTCTAGCACTAGGGTTTGCTTCAAGAAACTCCTCTTTCTCTTCAGCACGGATCTCCCTCCACACTTCCGTCTTGGATGCTAGAATAATCAAGGTGAGGAACATAACCATATACGGAAGACACACTAGCGGAGTAATGAAGGCCCACATACCAATACCGAATCTCCAGTCGTGGTACTTCAAAAGGCTGGAGGTGACTTCACCACTTGACCATGTATTCACGATAGTTTGCATGCTCAATACACCAACCGCCAAAAGTCTCCAACGTAACGTTGAGGCGTCAGATAAGTTGATCTGCCATAAGATTCTCATTCCAGCGGCACCAAAACCGTACAACACTGCTCCAACAGCGTATCTCTCAATATCAAAGGCATTGAATTGGATGATCACACCAATGATCCTGAAAACCATAGCAACAAGGAACAACTCAAAACGACCGAAGTTATCGGACAATCGAGCAAAAAACGGTAATGATGCAGCTCCAACGACATCTCGGATAACACTGATGGTCGACATTAGAGAGTGTTGTCTGTAAGAGTCTGTCGCATACCCAGTGAACACCCTGAGAGCGGAATTCTCCAACATGGCGATGTACATGCAAAGGAAGATTGTGAAATAGAAGCATCCTTTTGCCCACCAATTTGTCATTTGAGCCATGATTACCTCAGATTTGCGGATACCAAAAGACTTGGGTCTCACTGTGGAAGCCGCATCTTTGGAGGATCTGACCGATAAGCTCAGATCCAAGTCATTAGAAGAATCGGTCTTTGAATCGTGGATCTGCTGCTCAGGCTTAGTATCTTTTTGCTTCTGATCCATGTTGGAACCCAATATCGAGAAAAGCCTTTGGCAGTACTGAAATACCTTTCGGGCAAAAGCCCACCATTATATACTGGGCATTTCACGGACTTTGGAGAACCGCTTGTGTCGACAAGGCATCTTAAACTGCTCTTACGAGCTGCAAGTCCGGTGTGTAAGCTGCACAAGTAAAGAAGGATCTCGGGTATTTTTCAGTATGTTGCAGAACATCATGGACCCTTCTCTTGCGATTGTGGCTTTACGAAAAAAACGTACATTTTCCTTCAAAATGAATTTTATCTAAAGATTGCTTTCTCCCACGCTTGAGCTTGACGGATGTCTGGGGAACGCACAGGGTGGTCTTGGAAGGCGGGTACCGGTGTTGTCTTGGTAGACATGCTCCTTTTTATTCTCTATAAAGGATTTCGTGAGTGAAGTGGACCTACTGGCTTTGGTATCATTGTTCTTCATGTCCTTTTCTCCGTTGACAATTCCGTTGCTTCTTCGTTTTGGGTAGAGACTATCTGGATTCAAGGGTGTGAACTCAGCTCTAGAGGGAATCTCATTAGATCGTTTGATTTGGCCACGATTTAAACTTGACCAGTCTCGAATGTTTATTCTTGGATGCGTACCACTCTCTCCGGAAATATTAAAAAAGGTGTCAATGTCAGCCGCATCAGCCACACATCATCCTGTATCATCCGGGATTGCTCTGAGCCGTATATACGCAGCCAAATACCACCAAACTGACTTCTAATCTGTCAGATCTCTCAAAACTTTGATTCACACTCCACAAAATTTCGACTTTTTTTGCGCAACAATAGGACCTTCAATAGCAGCGCGAAGGGCCTTTAGGGTGTATTAAATTGCTCATATGTCTTGGATTTTGATAAATTCTTGAACAAAAGAAAAATTCGTGGCAGACGAGCTATTTTTCACTACACTTCGTCTATTCGAGGCATCTAGGTGCGAAGCGGAACCTGTCTAAGACTAGATCCAATTTGCGTAAAATATCAACGGTTTTCTAATTGCTCACCTCGCACCATATCGGCTCCACAAAGTGCGGGTGAGGTTCATACACATTATTTTACACCTTTTTCATATACGATTTCAAGCACTACAACAGTTTTTCACCAATGCCCACCAATGCATTTGATCAATGCAAATGTACTGCTTGATTGGACTTTCAAACTGAATCCACTGTGCGTCAAATTCTCTTTCTGCTACAGAGTCGACATATTCCTGTCGTTTTTCTGTAACGATCGCTGAGTCACACAGCTTTACATTTTATAGAAAGCTTTCTTACATACTGCTTCATGTCTACTGCAATCTTGCAATTGAAGGCATGAAAATTCTGCCAACTACTCGGATCAAAAGGACTTTGCTTACACGAAGACCTGTAGATCTCCAGGTGTAACCAACTTATGCAATTGAGCTGATCACCTGGATCTCAAAGCATTCCATGAATTTTGAGGGTTCCATCATTTGACCAGTCGTTTTGCAGACCGATGTCAGTACTGCACCCCTTCGAAAAACTTCCGTAAATCACACATGCTTGGTGCGGCTCGTCAAGTATCCTGTAGGGAATAAGGACAATGTAAATCAGATGGTTTAGATTAGATGAATCCGATAACGGAGAAGGGATTTTATGATCGATTCAGACGGTCAAAGCAAAGTAAGATATTGCTCGGATCACTTTCATGGCTGGATATGATCGCTAATAGAATTCATATTACTTTAACCATCAATTTGCAGCCAAAATGGTACTCAAAATGTCTCTTTTCTAGTCTTACTTTGCTTTAAACATACCAGTACATTTCTCATTCTCGTGGTGCCTTCTAGACTGATCCAAACGGCTAAACGGCACATTGTCGAGAGGCTACTTATGGAATACGCACCATATTTTACACGGGACAATGCCTCCTCTTTAGGTTTTTGACATGTGCCACGTACAAGGGGGCTTCGTATAAGTAGGTACAAATTTGAGGAACCCATTGTTAAGGCATATGAACAATGACGGGTCTCTTTTGAATTTACACGATTATACCTCTCGACGGCACCTATGGATACGCTCGGTAGACATCGACTTCCAGATGAATGATATAAAGGCTTCCTCCATCCTGGAAAAACCAGAAAACAATAAGTTTCAAGAAATGGACGACCCAAAAACGAACAGCTACGTATTTGAGGGTTTCGAATCGAGGCTGTCTCAGAACTCCTCAGAACCAAAGGAAGCCCCAGTGGCTGAAAAGTCGTTAGGAATCCGGAAAGCAGAGCTTATCATCTCACAATTAGATGGCTACTGGCACAAAGGCCTCTACTTCTTCTTCATTTTCATTGGAATGTACATCACCACTGTCGATAATTACACCATCAACATCTTCATTGGGTACGCTACAAACTCATACAAGCAACACTCACTCATGGCCACAATCGGCACAATTGGAGCTGTTGCGTCTGCTGCCTCAATGCCATTCTTTGCCAGGGCCGCTGATGTCTTTGGAAGGCTTGAGTTGTTTGTAGTGGCCATGATATGCAAGGTCATGGGAATCATCATACAATCACAGGCTTTGGATGTTCAGAGATACGCAGCTGGAGCTGTGTTTTATGCTTTTGTGAGCTCAGGAACTGTGATTGTCTGGCAGCTTTGTGTTTCAGATGCTTCCACGTTGAAGTGGAGATTAATGGCACTAGCTCCTATGTGTATGCCAGTCATCATCAACACATGGTCAGTGGGTGATATCACGGACCAGCTTTTGAAAAGACACGGGTGGGAGTTTGGTATCACTCTCTGGGCATTCACCACACCTCTTGTCTGCTTGCCTTATATGCTTACCCACCTCCATTTGATGTGGAAAGCTAGGAAGACATCAACATGGACACAGATTGCAAATGAGAAAAGACAGAAATTCCTCGACGACAGCCCTACGGCCAAACGGTATCACGATAATATGCTTGCCAGTACAACATGGCTGGAGAAGTTTGTGGCAAGATTGAAGTTCATCTCCATCCACGTTGCTAAGAAATTGGTGGTTATTCTATGGGAAATGGACTTTATTGGATTCCTTTTGTTGGCAGTAATTCTCGGTCTTCTTTTGGTACCCTTGACTCTTGCTGGAGGTGACCATTCTAAGTGGCAGCAAGCATCCACGATTGTTCCACTTGTGATGGGGTTCGTTACCATCCCGATTTTTGTGCTTTGGGAAAGTAAGCTTACAAAAAAGCCGATGCTTCCATTTGCAGTGATGAAGGACCGTGGAGTGTGGGCAGCATTGTGTGTCGGTCTTTTCAGCACACTTATCACATTTATGCCCGGAAGCTTTGCCTACCCTGTTTTGCTTGTTGGCATGAACGCTTCGGTTAAAATTGCTACAAGAACAGCTGGATTGAACCAGTTCACGGAAGGCATCACCGTTCCAGTTCTCGGGCTCATATTGACAAAAGTCAAAAGGGCTAAGGTTTTCATCATCTTGGGCAACTTCATCATGTTCATTGCTATGGGCTTGTTTGTGCATTTCAGAGGTTCAAACGATGGTATCAGAGATAAGTACTACCGAGACGGTGTCGCTATTGCAATGTGTATCTCTGGAGTTGCTCTGGCAACCTTCTACAGGCTCACGTCTGTCTCCATTCAATCATGCACCATCATGAGTATATGGCTCCTGTGACTTCCATCTTTGCTACATCGTACACTATTGGTATAGCCTTTGCGAAAAGCATTTCGGGTGCAATTTGGACACAGGAAATGCTAGGGGAGATCACCACCAGAATGATCAATTTGAATGTCGATCCCAGTCTAGCGATGATTGCCTACGGTTCACCATATGACTTCATTGTTGAGTACCAATGGGGCTCACCAGAAAGGATTGCAGTCAGTACGGCCTATGCTGCAATACAGAGGAAACTTTCCATTGTTGGGCTCTGCCTTTGCGTTCCTATCCTTGTTTTCATTCTTCTCTTGAGGAACCATAAATTGGTGGACTCCCAAAATATGGACGATGAGAAGCAAAAGCTGCAGAATGCTGACTATGAGAAAAACGCAGCCGAGCGGGAAAAGTCTCAGATCATTTTCAAGGATGACGAAGACCCCATCCTCAATTTCCTTAGGAGGCCACTTGGCTCTTTGAATTTGGGAAAATGACACACAATCAAGGATCTATGGCCTCACGGATGAGTATTGTACCCTGAAAATGTATCAATAATTGTGAATAAAAAGTTGTTAAGTTGGTAGGCCTTCAAAATTTGGACGATGAGAAGACCAAGCTAGCTGGACATGATCAGGAAACGAATTCGGAGCTCGTAATCAATCACGAGTTATTTTAAAGGATGACAAGGACTATATCTTCATGTTCTTCAGTAGGATGCGGGCTTAAGCTCAATGATAGCAAAAATTGAAGAGCGTCCCTGGAAGTCATCCGAAATGTCATCATATAATCAAAAATCGTGCAATTTTCCAGGGCTCGTTTACCTTCTATTGTCTTATTCGACAGTAGTCCAATGTTGAGCTTCACGTATAATCTGCACTCTGAACCTCCTAGTCTGGGACTGAAACATGGCAACCTTGCATGAAACTCTAGCCCGAAATCTGTAGCATCAGAGCGCCGGTAATTGTAGGACCACCATACTACTCAATGTAGCATTGAATGTCCCGCCTTCAAGCGATTTAGCAATTGAATGTTTTCAACTCCCTTTGAGCTTTCCATTCAATATCTTACCTCATATCCACGTCCTAAGCCTATTCGGCGCTTCTCGGAATCAGATGAGGTTTATGCGGCGCAGCCGTTTGCACTTGGCATGTTTTGCTGTTGGGTTGGCGTGATCAACCTTTTGAGACGCGTTCACTACATCCGGAGATAGTAAGTTAAGCGCATACTTCAAAACAGAGTTTGAAGACGTCTCGGAGTCTGCTTTATCGCAAGTTGGATTCCGATGACGATCAGGTCCAATAACTTCATAAACAAGAAATTCCCGACTCGCCAATGGTCATCTCTAAGCGCAATAGCGTGTTGATACGTGCCCGGGAACCGAGGTCTAAATTCCTGCGTGTTTCAGAATTTCTAGAACTATGTGTAGCCCACATCTTGAGCATTGTTCCGAATCCGATGTGATAATCCCAGAGGTCACGGCACTTGGCATGTCCGACGGGCCCTGCTTCATGCTAATCCCAAAAGTAATCTAAATTGTGAATTTCTGCTTCTTGACAGGTCACACCGAGTTTCGGACTCAGGCGATGAGGTGTAGTTGGACCGAGGAAGTAAGTAGCCTTAGCCGCATTTTTTCTTCGTTTAGATGCAGCTCGGCATTAAGGTGCATACTTCGGTACCTGAGCGCATCTTCGCTAGAAAAGTTGCAGTGACATAACGTGGCTGAAAAAATAGAGCCGAGGGAAGCGCACAGACCGTTTTCACTCTAACACATCGTAAACATTTCCGATGGCCTTGAAATGCTCGGCCTTGGTTCTTCAGTATGGCTTTCGCAGACTGGGCAAGTTTTTTTTTTCTTTTTTTCTCTGGTTTTGCTGCCTCGGTATGGCAATCTTTTGAGCCCTCGCGTCAAGTCCTTTACGTCCGAGGGTTTTGTTCCGAACTATCAACGCCAAGCCTCAGCTTAAGGGTCCCTACCTCTGCTCATCCCGGGCGTTCCATATCTTTCGATCCAATGAGTCGATCAAGGGAGGCTGAGCTGTAATTCAGCAGCTTTCCAAAAATCCTGTTCAAATTGGCTTTTCGGAGCTTAAACCAGTGATAACAGGAGATTTTCCAGATTGATCGGTCTTGTTGTCAAGATTTTCCGACCGCTTATCGATGCTGCAAAATATTTGCGCCGCGTGCAGAAATAATTCTATTGTTCAGCTAAGCCTGCAACCACTTGGTGGATGTGGGTGTCCCGCCACGAAAAAACCGTTGCTGTGGCTCTGCATTCAATCGGATAATTCTGTATGGATATGTGGTAATGGTTCTAGGTGGAGGATTTCTTCGTCATCGGTCGGATAAGCAACATTCCATTCGGGACGTGGTCATCTTCACCATCCGTAGCTGCACGTAGATATAAATTAAAGGCTCTGCACCAATGCATAGCACTTTTCATCCCCCAATTATTTATTTATACTTTACTCAAAAGCGGAAGCTAAAGTATGATTTTTTCAAGAGATCCTGAAAGCTCCAGTCAAATAGATATCGTCACAAGAGGTGACTTCAAACTTTCACCAAAAAGGTCCGATGGACAAGCAAGACCTCAGCATGAGACTATAGGCTCTCCTGGAAGCGCCACTCTAGCTTCTCCAACATCAGAGGGTCAGGGTCCATTTTCCGAGCCCACCCACACACCAGCACAAAGCTTCATATCAGCCGATGTTCCAGATGGTGCTGCATCGCCACAAAGAACGAGCGAGGAGTCCTATCTGAGTATAGCGACCAACAATTTCAACGACTCAAGCCTGGAGTCCACGGATTCCAAGAAGGGCAATGAGACCCCACAGCCAAAGCCAACTGCAAGAGACCTAGACTGGGATGGCCCAGATGACAAGGCAAACCCTCAAAACTGGCCAGCTCTCAAGAAATGGTTCATTACATTCACTGTCGCCCTTGACTGTCTTTGTGTTTCATTGGGTTCGTCTCTTTATGTTGAGGCCGTTCCAGATTTGATGATTGAGATGGGTGTCTCGCAGACACTCGGTATTTCTGGCTTGACATTCTACCTTATAGGATTGGCATTGGGACCTGTCCTTGCTGCGCCAGTATCTGAGATCATCGGACGCAGATGGATTTACATTGTTTCTTTGCCAATGGGCATGCTTTTCACCATGGGAGTTGGCCTCGCCAAAAACATCAGAACCATTCTCGTTCTCAGATTTTTCTCTGGTTTCTTCAACTCCCCACCAATGTCTGTTGCAGGAGGTACTGTGAGTGACTTGTGGAGCAATGATCCCGCTCAGTTGGCCGTTGCTATGGCCCTTTTCTGTCTTGCTCCTTTCTTGGGCCCTATTATTGGTCCAATTGTGGGTGGATTTGCTGTCGACAACCACAGCTGGGAATGGACACAGTGGGTCCTCTTAATCTTCTGCGGTGGAATCATGCCACTCCTTGTTTTGTGTCCTGAGACACTCAAGCCTGCCATTTTGAAGAAGAGAGCGATCAAGAGAGGTATCGAACTTGACAAGCCCAAGATGGACCTTGCTCTTCTCAAGAAGATTGCCACCATTTTCCTCTTCAGACCAGTCGAGATGTTGATTGTGGAACCTATCGTGTGTCTCACCTCCGTATACATCGCCTTCGTGTTCGCAGTGTTATTCGGTTTCTTCCAGGCGTACCCTATCATCTTCAGAGGCATCTATGAGATGAACAGAGGCGTGTCCGGTTTGCCCTTCATTGGTGTTGGTGTCGGTTTGATTATCGGTGTGCTCGGCTTCATCCAGTTTGACCACACTTTCTTCCACCCTAAGAACGAAGACGGATCCAGAGTCAAGCGTGATGAGAATGGCGAGCCCATCGAGCTTGCACCAGAGTCCAGATTGGCCGTTGCAGTTATCGGATCGGTGTTCTTGCCAATTGCCTTGTTCTGGCTAGCATGGACATCAAGAGAGTCGATTCACTGGATTGCACCAACATTGGCCGGTGTTCCTTTCGGTTTCGGCTTGATCTGGGTCTTCTTCGGTATTGTCCTTTACTACTCCATGACGTACCCTCCTCAGTGTCTTGCGTCTGCCTTGGCTGCCAATAACGTTTTGCGTTACAGTTTGGCATCTGTCTTCCCACTTTTCATTTTCGACATGTATGAGGAGCTCGAGGTCGACTGGGCTACCTCTGTGTTTGCCTTCATTGCGTTGGTGATGGTGCCAATCCCATTCGTGTTTTACAAGTTTGGACACAAACTCAGACTGAAATCCAAGTACAGTTTCGAGGCCGAGGCCAAGAGACTTGCAGCTGAGAAGGAAGACGAGGACAGCCAGGAAGCCTTCGAGTTCAAGTTCAACGAAACTGGATCCATCAGAAGTGAGCCCAATGAAGGGGCAGGTTCCCCCTTCGTTCCATCCACCAGGACCATGACCGAAGCTGACGATATGGTTGCTAACAAGGCTTAAGCTGGAAGCAGGCCTTTAATGATCACAATAGAAATAATAGACAAATAAGTTGGTAATCATGTAGAGATTGCACTTACTTCAGATTAGCATAAAGGGGAAGCTTTGGAAGTGGAGCCGTGAGTGGATGCGGTTGAAAGGAGGTTTGCGTTTCCAGTGTCCTTTTGTGTCTTGTAAGCTTGACTTCACCAGAGTACGGACAATATCGTATAGGGGACATATCACATATTGCTGAATTTCGAAAACTGAAGCTTAGCCGAGACGGAGCATTTTTAGGATGGATTATATCAAGGCGATCAATAGAAAATTATTTTACTTCACAATTGTTTTAACATTCTGGGTCCTCTATGGCACCTTTCATCTCAACACTAAGTAGGAGCAACCTAAGGTGTAATGCGCGTTAGTGATTGGTGGTACTACGCGTCATAGTTAAAGAGCAGTTGGCGTAAACTCCCATCTTCTGTAACAATGTTTCTTTAAAAACATGGGGCTAAAAAAAAAGACATATCACTGCAAAAAGGTAGAACTTTAAATTTTGTAATTCAAGTATTGGGTCAGGTGTTGGTGGAGTGAACAAAGGGTACTCCATTCAACACTTTGGAGAGTAAAGCGTTATCAGCAAAGCCCATGCAGAGTATTCAATAGGATTTAGCTGTAGCCAAAGGTTACGACTTTTCGGTAATTAGATCTTTCGTTGACGGAAGCAGCCATAAAGACATCGCAAAAGCAGTAGTACCCCATATCTCCCGAACAATGTATAAAATCGAGCTAAAACTTACTGAACCATATCGATAGGGATGCAAAATACTTCAGGTTACTATTTTGTGAGAATATATTACGAACCTGATTTTTGAACTTGTTTTCAAACTTAGCATTTATCGTTCGTGTTCGCATTCGCATTATTGTTACAGAAAGTATAGCCATGTTTCATGAAAACGAGAAAATAGGAATGCTTGACTTCGACAAAAATACAACAAAGACTTTTGATCATAGCTTGAGCTTACCTTATGAGGATGGCAGAAGAAAGGTATTTCTACGTCTGAAATGAGTGAAAGCTAGGATTG